GACTCTCCTCTCCTCCTTTTATTCCCCCTCTCTCTCTCTCTGCCCCGGCACCTGTCTGACTCTCCTCTCCTCCTTTTATTCCCCCTCTCTCTCTCTCTGCCCCGGCACCTGTCTGACTCTCCCCTCCTCCTCTTTATCTCTCTCTCTCTCTCTCTCTCTCTCTCTCTCTCTCTGGTACCTTTGACTCTCTCCCCTCCTCCTTTTATTCCCTCTCTCTGAGCCATGGTACCTGTCTGGCTCTCTCCACCTTCTCCTATTCCCTCCTTCTCCCAATGCATCACAGTCGATGCACTAATCTCATTTCGCATGAGATGGGCAGCTGATATTTGGGGGCCACACTGAGCCGCAAATGACTTCACGCTGCCGGCAGTTGACTGCAGGGATGCTTTGGGGGGGGGGGGTGATTCTCTGCTCGCTGGGGCGCGGTGGTCCACTGCGCTGGCTGTTCCAGCCCTACTGTCACCAAGCTTATGTTTATTTCAGCCCAGTAGCCTCTCCCCCCATTTGATACTGAGAGATACGGCCTCACCTGCAGCCAGCTGTTCCATCCTGTCGCCTCTGTAATTGGCCAGCGCTTCTGTATTAGCCCTCATTAGCTCATGTGCCATTTACAGCAACTTAATGTTTCCATCTGGCCCCCTTTACATCTCTGCATGACGGCCTCTGTCTGGATTATCAATGTAACAGCATCTTTACCCCCGTTCTCCTGCAGGGGGCACTATTGGGACCCCCAAGCCCCCTTTCTGCGGTAATTCTGGGGCCTGTGAAGGACACTCATCACTAAACACTGTTTATCACCCTTTTTTCAGCTCAATTTAACTTTTCTGCAAAAAGCTTCCAATCCAAATAAAAGCCAAGAAGGGGAATATAATCCCTGTTGGTGGGGGCTGGGGAGGAGGGGGGGGAGGTGATAATGTTGCTGAAATCTGTTCCATTTTTCACCATTTGCTTGATTTGATGCACTACGCAAGTTTCCTTTAAAGCTTACTAACACGCAGACCCTTAGGCCATCGGTCTGCTCTAATTCCATTTATATGCTACATTTCTATCAGGTCTCTGTCTCAAACCCCTTGGGCTGTAGATTCGATTCCTGCACCCAGCTCTATGTGTGGTGTTTGTGCTCTTCCATGGGTTATTCCTCCCACAGTTCAAATAATTAGTGTCTCTGAATTGCTCTTGCTGACTGTGTGTATGTGAATTAGGTTTATATTACAAATGCCCCCCACCCTAATGTAATAAAGACCAGTTTGTTTGTTTTGTTTTTTTCTCTTGTGACATTGCAGGGACCAGTTTTCAGGTCCCCGCAAAGGTCTGTGAACGCAATCAAAGTAAAAATGCCAAAAGTCTCATATTTATTTTAGTTACTTATGGTTAAGGTTAGGGCTGGGTTGGGGTTAAGGTTGTCCTGTTGTGATCAGTGTGACCCTGTCCTCTACGGCTGTGTGTGTGTCCCTGTGTCTCACACTGAAATCAGGTTAATGCTGCTCCTTCATTCCTGAGGGAGGCCTGCCGCTTGCAGCACTTTTACCTTCAGTCTGATCTGCACGCCTGACACCTGCTGGGAATGTGCGGTGGGGGGGGGGGTGTGTGAAATGCGCAATACCAACAAAACCAAAAGTCACTGACGGCTGCCCCCATAGCTGATCCAAGGCAGCATGCAGTCACCTTCCCCCCCCAATAAGTGGCTTTCGAATAAGGGCTGTGCTTCTCCCGCTTCTTCCATGTGGGCTTCCTGTTGTGACGCCTCAGTGAGAATCGATGCTTCTTCAGGGTTTAAATGTCTCCTTGTGGTTCTGCAGCTTAGCACTTTTTGCCCACAGTTGGAAGGTCGTGGGTTCTAATCCCATGGCAGGCAGAGTAATGTCACTGTTGGACTCAAGAACAAGGTCCTTAATCCCAAGCTGCTCCAGGGACGCCAGCTGACCTTGCTCTCAGATCCTTTTTGTAAGCTTTGGACCGAAGCCTCTGCTAAATAACTAAAATGAATAAGTCTGAGGTAAAATGGTTCTGCTTTGTTAAACGGGAAATTAATGTATTTTTTTTGTGTGCCCCCTCCCTGCAGATGATGAAGTTCGCCTGGGAGAAATATAAGCAGTTTGCCTGGGGCTCCAATGAGCTCCGGCCGGTGTCCAAACAGAGCCACTCCAGCAATCTGTTTGGTGAGTACTTCCGTGCCCCGCCTCTGGGGGGCGTCCTTAATCGTGTGCTGGTTGGATCAGCTCGGTGGCTGTGGTTCACCATCCCTGGCTGCATCCTGGTGCTGTTCTGGCGTGTTCAGGCACAGCAGCTGCTCTCCTAAAAGGGGGGGGGGGCTGGCACGTTGGTTTGCCCTGCCGTCGATCCTGAGTTGCACTTGGTGATCGTCTTGTCGTATTTCACTGCACTAACACTGACCCTGCAAAGAGGCAGCCAAGTCCAGCTGCCGAAGGCCGTGTTCCTCAGGACAGCTGTGAAGGAACCAGAAATAAGTGTCACTCCCGGAACCTCAGCGCTGCACGGCACGTCTTTAGTCAGCTTTTTTCTTTTTTTTTTTTGCGTTTGTGTTTCCTGGCAAATGATGAATCCTCTAGACATCAGCAGTGTGTAATTATGGTATTGCATGATTTGCCTTATTAGCATAAATGACTAATTTCGTACCCTAATTGCCTTTTGACGGAATGCCGTGGTGACGTTTGTCAGGCCGGACAGTCTGGCTAAAAGCTCTTCCTTCCAAAATGTCCCACTTGTCATTAAGTCCTTTTTATGCACTTGAAGCTCCTGATTGAGAGGAAAGGGGCAAGCTGGCTCGTGGGAGCCTGGCTAATTGCGTCCTGTTAAGGCTAACTCCACACTCAGGTGCGTGATAAAGATGGCTTATTGATTTTTAGGTAGGGTGGGGGGGGGGGGGCGTTATCCTGAGCTTCATCCAGTCCCTGTTGGATCTGTGATCGACTAATCCCAAACAGTGTGGGTCACAGGGTCGACTCTGCAGCAGTGTTACTGTTAGCTGGAAGGTTGGTTTTGTATTTCTCCAATAGTCCTGCCTTAGAGAAAGGTGCACCCTCCTAGTTTTTGGTTCATGTCCTGAGTGCTCCCGTGACCCAACCTGGGGATTCATGAAGGATCGGGTGCTATTATTGCAATACAGCAGTACACCCAAAACTCTGCAGTATACCACATTTCAAAATCGCGGTGGCTTATCAGATTTTATCTACTGGATTTCATAATACTGAGATAGCGTTGGTTTTGAAAATACTGTCAAAATGCTGTATAGCGCTGTATAATAGTCCGAACGGTAGGAAAAATTAGAAACATGACCCTGATTTTTCAGATGCCTTGATTCACCCGAGGGAGCCAGAGCAGCCAGTGTCTTCATACCTATTGATGAGCAACTGCAATAAGTTGCCCCCCCCCCCTTGTTCTCCAGAGGACAGGTCTGAGGAGACATCGCCGACCTCAGGCTGCCAGACGGCCATCAGTTAATGGTCCAGCTTCTACATCGCGCACGCCACTGCATCTGTTCGCTGAATTTGTTGTTTACCTCGCAAGATGTCTTCCATTTCATTCTTTGCATGCTTTTTAGTTTGTTTACTTTGTACTAATTGAGTTACAACTGTTTGGACAGATGCGAGCCCCTTCTCCACTCTCCCAGGAGGAGAGACAGATGGGGATGCGCTCAATGGCGCCGCCCTGCAGGGCGCCATCAAAGACACTTTGGTCTCAAACGGGGGCCCTGCTGGCGTTCTCCCTCCCTCCCCGCGGTAAACACCAAGGCCCGGTTTGCACCGCAGCAGGAAGGCGCTGCTCTCCTTTACATGCCTGTTTCGGGGTGTCTGCCAGGGCCGGGCAGGGCTGTGATTCCCCTTTCGCTGAAGGCCGGTTTGAAAAGCATGTGGCCAGGAAGCGCCCAGCCTCCTCAAGACAGCAAGGAGCAACTGAGGGCCTGCACCTGCAGCTCATTTGGCCAAATGTTCAGCTGCTTGAGATCTTCCAGTCATGTGACAGGAGTTGATGGCCAGTGACTGGCTTGTGGTTTGCCTGTCATGAGTGACTGGGTGGCAGAGAGCGACTTCTCCCTGTGTTGGCTACATTGTGGGAATTCTGCAGAAACAAGTGTATAGATGGCATTCAGTACTAGGTGCTGAAATATTAGGAAGACACTGAATTGGCTGGGTTTTGTTTGGGAATATTGTGTATATTGTGTGCCATGAGTTATGAACAGGTGGATTGAAATCTGGTACACTCAGCCTCTGCTTTTTATGGATAACATAAATATTACATCTCTGAATGTCTTCTCTGAAATGGATTTTTATTTATTTTTTTTGCTGAGAAATGGCATGGTACAGTGTTTTCACCTCTGCTGTGCAGTTTTTCTCTATTGAAAGCTTTTGGTATCTTGGTCAGTAGCAGACGGTTTCCTGTAGGAAGCAGCTTTGGTAGCACTTAGACTGAAAGGCTGAGGTCTGCTGTCCTAACTAGTAAGACCCAGTGCGATTAATGAATATTTGTAGCTTGGGTTCCTTGTAAATATTTATGGTGTTTTTATCATAAGTGGCTGAATGTTGTGGAGCCTCCATGACTGTCCAGCAGAGCAGCCAGTGGTTGGATTGGACCCCTGGGGTTGGCAGAAAGGAATCTGACCCCCCCCCCCCCTCCATTGGAACCTGGTGAACAGCCCCATCTCTGTAGGTCCAGCTGCCTTGGTGTCCCTCCCCATAACAGCGACAGTAATCTCTTTATCATCTGTTACAATGGGTCTTCCTCCTAGAACTGGCCAGACCTCCGGTCCTCCACCTGTGCTGAGCCCTTTCTGAAGATCACCCATTCCCCCCGGGGGGGGGCCGATGAGCCACACATTGTTTATGGCTTTCCCTCCCCCCTGCTGCCGTGAAGTGACAGTGAGGGATGTCTCGGGGAGCGGATTTGACTAATGGGATTGCGGGGATGGAACCTGAGCGACATTGACAGACCAGCTCTCGTTACCGGCCTGATTTATTTGATTCGCGTTGTCATGGTGCAGACACAAATTTAAAAGGTACCTTTAGGGTTTCAGGCTGCACCTCTGTCACTGAACAATATCGGCACTCATTTGGTCTCCTGCCTTTTTTGTAGTAGTTTTACATGTTTATGATGGACCCCTCCAGATTTGAGTGCTCCGGCAAGCCCGAATATTCCATCTTTCTGTCTGAGCTATTTTTGTTGAGGGGAAAAGACTGAAACATCCGCTGTAGCACTGTAATAATCTGTACGGGAAGTATATAATGAAATAACGCTTTGTCCAGATGGTGTTTGAGTCATTTGCACTGTTTCCGCTCGTTCTTGGTGCTGTCCGCATGCAGCACTAGGGCTGGAGCCGGAATCTTTAAGCCCCCCCCCCC